CAAACCACTTCCATGCACGGCAGATTTTAGGAGTTTTTATTCAGGTCACTGCAACTGGAGATAACACTGAGCACATTTGTTAACCCATAAACATGTATGTGTGATCTGCCTGACCTCCCTTGTCCCCTTCTGCTGCAGCAGCTTCACTTAGAGCTATGCACCATTTCTTCCTCTCTGTCCAGCTTAGCAAAACTGGTAATAATCAAACACGAACTATCAGAGCATCCCTTCTGCAATGGCTCCACAGCTCAGAAGAGGCAGCTCCAGCCACGGAAAACACCTCACTCAGATACAAAATTCTGTATCTCCCCATCTCACATACCAGTTTGCAGCTCACAGAAATGTTATGAACATCATCATATTTCATGATCAGACATGCAGCAAAATCAAGAAGGTCAAGTCCCTTTTTTTTTTTTTAATCATGTTGCTGCACATAAGAAGCAAACAGAGTTTTCTTTAATTAAAATGTCCTGACACTGAATGCAGTTTTCAGGTGGACTGTGGTAACATTCTTACGCCTCAACAAAATCATAAATCTGACATGCTTTCACTCCGTACCTTACTTTACATGCTTCATAACAAAGTCAGTAAAGTAACTCCTCAGCCTTTACGTGTAATTTCTAACTGAATATACTACATGTCACTCCCAAATAGCTTTGCCAGCTCATATGACTCTAAAAAGACCCGTACTGTTTTGAACACCAAGTCTACCACTAACGCTGAAGTCCAACACACTTTAAACCATGGATGTATTTGAAAAGTGATATTCAAAAAAGGGTGAAGAGAAAAGGAGACACACATTTCACTTGCAACAGCTCAAAGTCAACAGAAGAACAGTGCTAAACCACACACAGGGGTGCACCACACTACAGTGTTTCCCAAATAGACCACTGAGAAGTGACCATACACGGTCTTCTTCTTCAAGTCATGCACAGAAAAGCTATTAAACAAGGGTAGAAAGTTTATCAGTAAGCAAGGATGTGATTCGCTTCATTACCCACTGTAATTTTATAAAGCTATTTGTAGCTCGAACCCGGGACTGATTGCAGGACATCCAAGGACAGTGTTTGGCTTTCTGAAATGGCCTCAAGGCAAGAGCATGTTAAGATGGCTGTGTTCTTAAACCTGAATTTTAAGGGTTAGCTCCAAGGGTGGATTAGCCATTGTCAGACATGTTCTACCACATGAAAAAAAATCCCCCTCCCTTGGAGGGTGCTAAACTTCTACGATCTCCACTTTGTGAAGGTGAAGGCCAGTATTTCAAGTCTGAATGCCCAGAAGTAGCTAGAGCACAATATCATTAATTAATTAATTAATTAGTGTTGACCATACTCTGCTTTTCTGTCTGAAATTCAAATAATTGAAAGGATACACCCCTCAATTCACTGAACAGGGGCTGTATCTGAAGAAATCAGGGGAGCAGCAGCATTGCCATCCTGTAGCACCAACCCAATGAAACAGCACCTCTGTTTAATGATGCTTGTCAGCTTCCTTCACTATGAGAACTTCTCAGAATGTTACCCTTAATTTAAAAACCTGAACCCAGCATTTGCAATTGAGAACTGATCACGGACTACAACTAGCTCTGAAAACAGCCTTCAGTGTGACTGCAGGAATTTCTAGTTTCTGGTGAATACATTTGATAAAAGCAGTACAAGTTCATCTACTTCTGCTATGCAGCTTGTTGTACAAATTTCCAGAGATAACTGCCAGCGCTGTTTGCTGATGTCCCACTTCTTAACTTACTTCTCACATATTACAAAAAAAAAAAAGGAGTTAACGGGCAAAACTGAGAAGCAATGAACATTTGCCAAGGCAAGACTCCTCTGAAACCTCTGAAATAAAGATCTCTAACCTCCTCTCAGTTTGGTTTGTTTTTTTTTTTTTATTACTAAAGAAATGCACACAAAAACTACTTGGTTTTGTGCACCTACTAACAGACTGAACTCTCTGTAAAACATAAAAAGCATGACTGAAATAATTCTAGGTGAAGTAATACAACCTCAGCTAAAGAGCTATGTTCTGTTACATCATACCTTTTATTAACAAATTTATTATGTTTGATGTTCATAGTTATATACATAAGCTAATACCAAAAAAGCAAACAGTCATCATTTTGGGACATGCGTGTTTGAGAATGAGAACATCTCTTACTCCACAGAGTGAAGAAAATACTGTCTTCATAAAATTCTTAGCAAAATTATTCATTCTTTTACTACAACAATTCATACAGTATTAGGTTTGCACCATGTCATAAACATATCAAACTAGAAAAAACGCACTTGACTAAAAGTTACTATCTTTGTATATCCTAACAATTTTCTTTTGGGTATTGATTTGTAATCTGATTTCTTACATCTATCCTAAATTTGCTCAGTAGAGTTTTGTGGGTCTGCTTTTTTAAAGCCACTTTAGGAATAAATCCTGGACACTTTACTACAGAATATACTCATAAATAATGATACATTTGTTCATCAATGCTACGATACCTACAACTCTAATTCTACCAGAGTCAGAAATAACATTTGACTGAATTTTACAGTGTATCACTATGCCAGAACACGCCACTGAAGAAATGTCTTCCCAGTCTCAGGCAACTATGTCGGTTAGTATCATGACGCATTAACAGACCTGAAATAACTGTTTCTGCATAGCAGAAGCACTATCATATTTTCACTTCCATCGCTCTACGTAGTATCGCAAGTTTTCACTTCTTTTTTCTTTACATGACTATATTTATAGGATACACCCTTTAAGGATGTAGCTGTGAAATCTACTCCTTTTCCTGAAATACTTAGAAACACATCAATACATACGACAAGTTGGAACTACTTTTTCCAACATACAGAATTACCTCTATTACACTGCTCCCTGGTTAAAACTAATGAAGTATAGAAGGAATGACTCTGTGAAATTCAGTAGAAACTCATTAACCAGGGCGCCCAGCTCTTCTTCCCACAGCACTAACAATGGTTGAATCCACAGGCACCTTAGGGAATTATTGCAGGTTTTCTAGATACCTTTTTTTAAAAATAAGTGTATTATTGACTTTCTAAATAGTATCCAGTCACTGACTGAAGTCATACTCAGTCTGATTTATTAATGAGCACAGTCCCAAAGTGGCAGACACTGTTTGCACCCATACAGATGTGGACCACGCCAGCTGTCCCACTGAAGACCTATCTGTTTCCTGATCTAGGACATCAATTAAAATACACCAGAGCCCAGAGCAGCAGTATCTGCTTCTCTTTGAGTAAACTCTGCTAATTTACCCTCTCAGTAACAGTGGCTGGCAGAATGAGAAAACCCTGAATCTGCTTTTTTGCTTTAGTACGAATTAAGGAACTCCTTAGGCCCTGCAGGCCAACTGCAGATGGACGACAAACAGCAGTGTAAGTGGATTTGTGTCAACCTATGAAAAACACAAGGAGGTACCCATTATATCATTGTTAACGGGTGAAAGGCTGCAAGACAACAGAGAGGGAAACACATGACAACTATTAAAAAGGATCAGTTTTAAGCACCATCCATATCCTCCACATACCAGTTGCCTGCAAGTTGCCATGCAGCACACACCTCTGTAGTGCCTGCATTTGTAAAATTCCAACGTTGCAGTCGCTCCCCTCAATTTTTTGGTCTTTGAAGAAAAATGGAGAACCACTGCTGCCAGTAAAAGTGTATGTGGCGCTACATGGCACTCATTTGACTGAATAGGAAATCCGAAAGCAAAATCTATGTTAATAAGCTGGCTATACTGAGTATAGGTAGAAAGTCTTAAAGGTACTGACATAAAATAAAGTCAACAATTCAGCTTCTTTGGAAGACATTAAAAATTAATTCACACCAAAGCTGACAAGTACGAACATTTTCAGGTTTAAAGACAAATTCCTAAGTTCTAAGCCAGAATGAGAATGCCACCCCAACCAGAGTATCACCAGCACCATGCTGTAAAGCGGAGCCTGTCCTATTCCATACCTTCTTAATTTTACAGCCTTTGCACGCCCTAAGGGACCAGTCATTAAAAGGTCACTTCAGAAATAAATTACTTTCTCCCACATGGCAAGTTTCTATGAAGTTAAAGCCTAATGTTGACAGCCCCCTCAGCAGGATATTTATTGTCTGTTCCAGAGAAGGCAAGCAGGGCTATGAATCTAATGGCAATAACAGAGGCACACCACAGAAAACAGAAAAATGAGAAAATTCAACAGCGGAGTTGGGAAGACTCCCTCTCTACCATGCACACTATCTCTAGCCACAAGCACAAATGAAGGCACCAAGCAAGCCTTCTCTTCCCACCCCTTTCCTTCTCTACTCATCTCTCTATAAAAGATGCTTCTGAAAACCAAAGTCTGCTAGGATAATGATTAAAATTCTAATCATCAAGAGTACAGGAGAAACAGACAAACAGGCATGGTAGACAAGTATTTTCAGGCACGTACGATAGACAAATAGTTTCAGGAAAGCAAACTTCCATAAAAACAGTCTTTCTTCTTGGGTAAGCCTGTTACTTTGGATATATTCTCCTCATCAGAGCAAGTATTCTAGGAACTACTCCTCCACAAAACTGGCATCAGTCACAGAACTGCCCTTTTTAGCAGAAAAATAACAAATAACACTCCAATTTACTGCAACTCTTTCCTGAATTTACTGAATTCTCTAACACTTAAACACAAAGACTTAGAGTGTGAAGCACAAGCACTTAAGTCAATTTCCTTTTCTCTCACAAGAAGCATGTAATTCATAAGAGCAGTATTATTTATATCCATCTCCCATATGCTCATTCATCATAATGTTCAAGATGTAGAAATTGAGTAGACTTGAATAGACAATACAATTTAACTAGAACATGCAAAAGTTTGAATAGCCAGAAGTCAACACCCTTTGGTTTGAAAAATCTGCCAGTAGACAGTGGAAAGGAAAGGGGAAATACCAATATGGCGCACAATCCTCACAGACTGGGAACAGTCAACACACATAAAGCAAAACCAAACACCACTTACTTCAGATTTGGAGGACATGTTTTCCTCCATGTCAGAATCATTGGGATCTACAATATCATCAAATGGTGGCAGAGTTGGCGTCTTCCTTTCCAATGCATCATTTTCAATTTTGACTTTCCCCACCTTGAGCTGAGATCTATCCTTAGTCTGTTTTTTGTCAGCTGAACAAGTAAGAATCAGTGGTGGGGCATTAGAAAAACTTCTAAATAATGAATCTGAGCCACTTTTTTTCCTTTTTTTTGCAGAAGGTTCAGAGTCCAGAACAGAGGGCCTTTTTGTGGGGGTCTTCTTTTCTTGCTGCTGCCCACCTGTTATGGTAAGGATGGGGGTGTTTTCAGATTTTGGCTCCTTGGACACGGACATGGGTTTGGGTCCCTTGAAGGCCATCTTAGGAACTACTTTTTCTTCTTTTAGTGGTTTGTTTTCTTTGGGTTTCTTAGAGGATTCTTTGGAAGTTTTGGTGTGTTCCCTGGAAGGTTCTTTGAAGGCACTTTTATGTTCTTTTGAGTCTTTAGAAGTTTTTTCCTTGTGCTCCTTTGCTAACTTGTGGGTCTTTGAAAAACTGTTACTACTACTGCCGCTATTTGTGTTCAGAATCCTAGTTGGGTCCTGCAAAATGGAGATGCAAAATTTTACATACAAAAAAAAAAGTACGCTTAAGGCCCAAAAGACAGACACAATACGGACACAGGATTCCTATTAAAAACTTGGAACTGCAGGTTGAAAACCAGAACTGGAAAACACCTATATAAGAACAGACAGACATCCCATCATTTTGGTCAACCTATCTGTAACAAGTGGTGGAACATAAGAGGTTACCACTGTTGTCAATATCTGCAAGACAAGTTAGTTTTTATCTTAAGAACTAGGAATGCTTTTTTAAGAAACATCATAAGATGAACATAAAGACAGTATAAGAAATGTTAATCATGACCATTAGCTATGAGGAAAAAAACTCATCATAATGCAAGATCAGGATATGAACCATATACCGTCAACAGAATTACTTCAGGATCAGAGCAAAACATGTCCTCTTGATGACATTTCGGGCAAAGTTTGATTTCTCTGCTGTGATCCTCTCTCCAGCTTTTGCCAGATCCTTATCCTCATACACAATAACAACCCTGGGTCCAGCCTGGCTATGGAAGACTTGATTTGACACACATCTCAGCAGTCAATGTCTTTTTATGGAAAACCTCCTTTCCTAAAAAAAAACCCTTTCTTCTATTTATTGCTGCTGTCTCTGCTGAGTATTTCATTGCATTTTTTTAGATTCAGCTGTATAAGTGAGAAAGGTTTCTGAGAGGATGATGATTCAGAGGTCCTATGAGATAGCAAAAAGCAGAAAGAGCACAGCAGTATCATTCCTCACTCAGTTGAATCCGAAAAGTCAAAGTGTCAAGGAAAGTGGAGCTAAAACCAGCAATAAAGGAACTGAACCATCTGCAATGGGTCATAAGGGAGGAATCTTTTCTTCTGAGAAGTAACACACAGGAATTTTCAAAAGATGAGGATAGCTCCAGCACTACCACTTTCACTGAAATGCTAGCAGTGGGCGCTCGGCATGTCAAAAATACCCAATAGCCTAACAGCACTGTTATAAACACTAAACACCTGTAGCACTCTCTCCAGAAACAAGCATCATCTTTATACTACTTCAAACCTGCAAAGTGACACTTCCATTTACACGAACCTACTGTCAGCAAGTTTAGGTTGCTTACTTTCCTCCAAGCTGATTATAAGCATTTCTATCTGTATATTGGCTAGCATCTGAGAAACTTTCAGAAAAAAACACTTCAACAAATATATTGCATATACCCATTGGTTATTTCCTTTCTCTTTTCCTAGAGCAGAGTTTTAAATGGCATAAAGCTGAAAATACTAAAATCTTGGGAAAAAAAATCAAGTATGAAACATGATATATTGTGACATTCATAAAAATCCTAACTCTAGATACAGATTTATACTGAATAGGACTTCATTAACAATACCAAGCTGAAATAACAAAAAGGAACATATTCTGTCCTAGAAAGTAGAAGTATGTGAAGTTTTATTCCTGATGAAAAACCGTAAAACTGTTAGCCATTAACCTAGGAAACCAACCCTTCTTGAAAGCCGGATAATCCCAAAGTGATACATGCCATGCCAATATCACACCCTGAAACTCTCAAATGATCAAATTCATGACTGGCAGAGCAGGAATAGCTTCAGGGAAATTATATGGACTATACACTCACAGTATGCCAAAGATTCCCATGCTCACACCTTACTTTCTGTCAACTACACATCTTATAGCTCAAGAGTCTTTAATTAAGCCTCCTTAGGACAGAAAAATGACAGTATTTGTCAGAGGCTGGAATATATTTAGTCAAGGGTGTGCCAATACACAGTTTAGAACCACAGATTTAATTAAATTCTTAGGTTGAAAGATAGGATGATGAACAATACTTACAATAAAATGTTCTTCCAATATTTTTGTGCAAAGAAAGCATTATTGGAAATTAGGAACTATGAAAAGATGCTAGGCAGTGTAAATATTACAAATGCACTTCTGGGTTTGACTTCCAATAATTTGGTTGGTTATCCATCCAAGTCCTTTGCAAGCTGCAGACCAAAGTGGTGCCCAAAATTCTCTCATCTGTATAGAACTGGATATGCTTTCGTCCGTATAAAATCCATGTACAAATCCCTAGCTCTGTTTTCCAACAATCCACACTTACCATCCCGCAGTGCTAAGAATCAGCTTTTCTTTTTTGACTGTACTGGTTTTGGCTGGGACAGAGTTAATTTCCTTCACAGTAGCTAGCATGGGATCATGTTTTCCATTTGTGCTGAAAACAGTGTTGGTACCTGTCGGGATGATTTTATTACTGCTGAGCAGGGCTTACACAGGGTCAAGGCCTTTTCTGCTTCTCACCCCACTCCACCAGCAAGTGGGGCTGGGCGTGTGTGAGAAGTTGGGAGGGGACACAGCTGGGACAGCTGACCCCAACTGACCAGAGGGATGTCCCATACCATACGATGTCACACTCAGCATATAAAGCTGGAGGAAGAAGGAGGAAAGGGGAGGACGTTGGGAGTGATGATGTTTGTCTTCCCAAGTCATTGTTACACATGATGGGGCCCTGCTGTCCTGGAGATGGCTGAACACCTGCCTGCTGATGGAAAGCAGCGAATTAATTCCTTGCTTTGCTTTGCTTGTGCTTGGCTTTTGCTTTACCTATTAAACTGTCTTTATGTCAACCCACGAGTTTTCTCACTTTCACCCTTTCGATTCTCTCCCCCATCCCACCAGGATGGAGTAAGCAAGCAGCGCTGTGAGGCTCAGCTGCCCACCAAGGTTAAAGCACAACAATCCTCTAGTATATATGTAGATGTGGCATGTCTGCTTATCTAACACTGCCACAGGTTTACAGAACTGCAGAGGGGAAAACATATTCAGCTTCTCTTCACCCTTATTTAAACACTGTTTTACCCACAATATTAATGGGATAGCAGCAGTGCACTGGAAACTGAAGGATCAAAGCAGGGCATGGCCAGCCTCAACCTCCACAGGGGCTGAGTAATTTTAAAAATACAGCCAGTAGAACTGCTCTGAAAAAAAATAAAATAAAGCAGAATTAGCCTGTTCAATGAAAGTTGCATCAACAAGAGGAGAAATTAAGACTGTGAATACATCCACTTGTGTGCTCCTTATTGGCAGGTAACTACTTATGACCTGTCCAATCAGGATATGTTAAGTCAGTATTTAATGCTACAGGACCTGTATGGTTTACCATATGTGCAAAAAGAGGAGCATCTCCCTTCTCGTCTGTAGCAATAGGTGGAAGCAATTCATTAAAAATAATTACTTTGAACTGTTTTTCCCTCCTGTTTAGTGATTAGTGAAACACTGAATTTTCACAGTGCTGCACAAATTATTCAACTGTGCTTTTTGTTCAGATGTTTCTTGCATCAGTACTGTCAAGGTATTTTTGAGTCAGATTCGTAAATCTATCCATATAATATATATGCATCATTAACAATGGGGAGAAGCATCAACAATGAACAATATTATGATGACATTTGAATGTCTGAATGTAAGGCACTTCCTCATTTCCAAGGCCAGTAATTAAAAAACAAAACTAAAAAAGCACTAATCATTCCTTGAGATGTATTACTTCAGTCAAAACTCATTTCCTGGTAGGGTTTTTTCTTAACGTTTAAAAAAAAGCTACATACGTTCTACAATGCAATACCAACCAAAAGGTTGACATACGAACTAATTATTAATGCTTTTATCCTCACATCTTGTTCTATCATGCCAGAGCTTTTTTTTAAGTATTGCCATGGGGGTGTCACAGGTTAGGGCTGGGCCGGCCACTAATGAACGACAGATGCTCTCTGTTGACCCCTCTCTCCCTCCCCAGAAGGGAGAGGGAGAGAGGCCTATGGATTGAAAAAGAAAACTAAAACAGCTTTAACAAAACAATAACAAAAGGAAGAAGAGATAAATAATATTAATAAGAAAATAATAAAATAGATACAAATATACACAGAGCAAATACCAAACTCAACCCCCGTGATGATGGTAAGTCACTACTGATGTTGCAGGGCTGGCACTGGGGCAGTCCCAGGCTGGACTCAGCAGCAGATGGGATGCAAGAGCTGGATTCAGGAATGCACGGATAGGGATCACAGACAGAAGAACAGACGCAGCCCTCCTTGGATGTTGGCCATCAAAGAAGAACTTAACCCTTGTGATCCCTCAGCTTTATACTGAATGTGACGTGTATGGGATGGAATACTTAGTTGGGCAGTTTTGGGTCACCTGTCCAGTTCATTCCTCCCTGCAGATGCAACCTTTCACTTCGCTCTGACCCTTTTTCACTTCCAGGACCTCAATATGGCATACAGAATTCAGCAGTGACTGAGGTTGCTATAAGAACAAGTATAAGCAAGGGCCTCTCTGCACACCATTCCTTGGTACTCACTACAAACATCAAGCGTTATCACTGCTAGAAGCAGTCACTGTCTGGAAAAACATGCTCCTGTTTTTCAGAAAGTGCAGTTACTTAGAAGAGACTTAACTGAAAAGTAAAATCACTGAACAGAATTACTTCTGTTTTAGCTCAAACCAGGACAGGAAGGAATGAAATATGCTCCATTAATGAACTAGGTGGAGTCCTTATGTTTCTTATTGGTCTCCTTACCACGTATTTTCAACTGCTCCAAAAGGAGAGATTCATTTTAGTGGTTTTCCAACATGAAAGCCATGAAACAGGTCCTGGGGTGCAGTAGTATTAAAACCATAGCAACCTGAGATCTTTCTTGCCTTTTCAGTTTTAAAACCAGACTTCTCTCCTATTTCTATAACATGAAAGCTGATGTTTTCATAGAAAACATAGTACAAGTGTATGCTATAATTAATATAGACACATATACATACACACCCTGGCCATGCTCTCTGAGAGCTACTCTCTCATTAAGACACTCAACCCATTGTTTTTATATGTGCATTCATTCTCCAAGTAAAAAAAGGTATCTTAATTCCTAAGTTTCTACAATGACCCTAACAGAAGCCAACAATGATTTAGTGGAAACAGCAAGAGGAATATCAACTTTGCAAG